ATGTCTGAGACACACGAATCATATTTTGAAGGCTCATATTTGTGTTCTGTATTGGACGGCCTGGACTACGCGAGATGCTACTATACAGAGGACCGATAACGATTTAGAATTAACTCAATGCTGCTAGTACTTATCAATGAATTTTCTATTTATCATCCTTTTATTAGTATAATTATCAAGCCTCTGACCTTCTGCTTTGACTAAAAATTGAACGTAATCGATTTGATTGAGCCGATCCTTCACCTGCGGTTATAAAATTTTGATTTCAAGGCCAATCTTCATATCTGATGGAATACTAAGTTCACTTTCCACGCAACATCTTTTTCATGAGTCAGTAAAAGTTAAATAATCTCCTTAGAATGGCTTCTTGTCGTCTCGATACCAGTTAAGAAGAAAGTAAGACTTAAGCACTATTATCTTTGTTTGTACCCGCTTTTCTCCTCACTTCTCCAAATACAGAGTAGCTATTCATTATTGCCTTCTAGATGCTTCCCACTTCACAGTGCTACATCTTTGTACATAGCAAAATTCTAGCTTGTGAATTCTGTGAGTATCATATTGATAAACATATAGTTATCAAAAAAATTAACGGTAGTAGCGTCCCTAGTATGTTTTTACGCTCGACGAATCACTTGCATCATGAGTGAACGTGGAGCTACATACTAACATTGTTTAAAGTTTCAACTTCCCACAGAAAACGCTTGAAGAATCCGAAACTGCCATTCAATAGTCAGACAAAAGACCGAGACAACTGACCATCTGCTATTACCTTTTTGTTGACAAATTCTGACTGGACTAAATATCCTATCAAGAGTCTATCCTACGACAAGACAAACTTAATTTATGAATTCGAGATGACGTTATTAGTGGATTATCTGGTTGACCATATAGACATTATAAAAACCACAACTATGAAATGATCGAAATTGAGTTTTTAGCAAGTATGTAGTGGTATCGATCCTAACGACACAAACCTCAAGGTTGAACATGAGATAAATTGCGAAATAGACATTCAACATTTACCACGGCGCGGCCAGCGATAGTGAATACTCATGCAATAAATCAGATGAAATGGCTCAGCCTCGCAGTTGTAGTCGTTCTGTATAATTTGTTTTTACTCACATTAAATTTATTACCCTATCTTTAGCCTAAATTTGTTCTTTACAAACATCCAACGTTATGTCTCGAACATTTACAATATGACGAGTTAGAATAGACTATGGTGTGACTTTCACGCAAGATCTTATGGATTAGGTAGTCATATAATCACAAATCTACAACTTCAGGATTAGGTTTGTTATTGGAGAAGCACTAATAACTAACTAGACCAGAATTTTACAAGTTTATATGGGCCAAGAAGGATTTTACATATGAGTAAACGGTGAGACGACGGTTTATGAACCAGCGAATCACAAGTAAGTGAATACTTCTATGACGACGGACCACGGGTGAACTCGAGGAAGCTGTAGGAGACTCTGAAGAAGCCGAAGATATTCCGTCCAATCACCTTTTGGAAGAATGTTCTAGAATACCTACGTGTAGCTTCCCGATTGGACGATGCTAATAACCCCCTGTATGCTGATTAGTGGACTGTAATGATGATTATGTTTTTGCTAAAAACTATAAATACCTGATAATTTTGTACAATAATTGACACTGTCTGGGAATAATGTTCCTTTCACTATTCTTCTGTCTTCTCATTGAGACTTGGAAGAATTCTGGCGTTCTAGTGCTCGGGTTATACGCGGCATATCAAGAACAACCCACTAGATATAACAGTTTCCAAGGTCATGATGCTCTTTTCAGTTCCCAGTGCTCACGTATGGTCAGATTAGGGTGGAATTTAAAGAAGACATTATAGTCAAGTGGCTATGACTAATCAGTTTTCGAAAACTTCCTTTATTTGTGGTTGAAGTGATCAAATGACTGGCGGACGTTGTGTAGAATGTTGTGATGTATTTCTGTTACATAGGTTGGAGGTTAAAGTCTGCTAGAACGAGACCGTTTCCGCTCTGCACCGATCGAGACTAACCCAGATTATGATAGCTGTTGTAAACCGGATGATAAAAGCGCCAGTAACACCGGCTACAACCTTTTTAGGTGTAACTGAAGCCTCAGCAGTTGAATAGTATAGTACTGCCAAAATATATGCGCAATGAAATGACAAGTTTACGTGAATTGTTTTGAGGAGTCTGAAGGACCGTAGAAATAGACAAAATGGTTGCTAAAAAACAAAAATCTGACCAGAGAAGTGTTAAAGCAGACTGGGTAAGTAGCACTACCATAAATATACCCAGCAAGTCCTCGGTATATATGATAGACCATCTCAAAAAGAAAACTTCCAGCGCGTTAAGTACCAACAATATTACCAACTATACGAGAGTATGTGCAGCTGGGAACCACAATATAGACGGATGACTAGACAGTATATCTATGCTTACATAGACTGGGCTACGTGCACCGTGTCGTCGTCCACAAGCGGCATTTTGTGGACATCACCACCGGAGTACACATAAGTAATATAGAAGCAATGTGATTGAGGCGAAAGAATGTTTTTAAACCATGTCAAAAAAAGTATACACTATTTTTTCGTTTCACATAATACATATTAAGGCTCTATACCGACCGTTTTCTGATTGACTGAAATTTATCAAGATCACCGGTGTTCTTTCAAATGTCATCCACAAGTTATGCTTTCACCAGTGCTGCTGAATTCGACTCGGCAGTTTCCTGTACATTATTAGATGTTAGATTAATTATCGTCCGCTACATACAACCATCTCATTTTGATATCTGTTTCTCTCTTGACTAGCTGGCACATCAACATATCTGATATGCCTGGTACACACTTATATAATTTGTGCTTCTTAATGTTCCCTGGTCAATCAAAAATGATTATCTTGGGTTACATTTTAAATTGTGCAATTCCCTACTCTCTATCATAATTGTGGCTTTATTTTTCGACTAACTGGGTACATAACCATTATTAGTTTGTAACTACTGTGTATTATACATGTGTGCTTTTGCGCGATATGAATTAGTTTTCATGTGTTTTTCGTCGCATATCATCGCTACAACCCAAATATTTGGAATTCTGGCATCCCACCAACTCGCAAACCTTACAAAACCATATGTTATCCTTGTGAGTCTACAAGACTACTGATCGCATTTCTTGTAGCACCATAGAGTGCCTATCACTAATATCATTTACTTACAGACATAATGAAAAAGCATCCGATATTTTATACCGTCTATGTGGATAGTAGATCTGTTCGGTAGTAATGTGACCTCCTAGCTCGTATCGAAATAATACTTCACAGTCACTGTCTAACGTGATATCAAGTTTCTGAGACGACTGTGATGACTCCACGAAACAAATAAAGTCTCACCGATGTGATTTTTTGAGTTAAAACATTTGAAAGGTATGAATTATGGAGTCCAAATACCTGACCCAAGTTGTCTATCCGTGACCTTAACGAAGATCACTAAACTTCTCAACCCCTAGGAATCTTTAGTCCGAAGTAGAAACGGTACAGCATGATGGTCTATTAGGCTTGGACTCAGAAACATTTCGCCGGATTTACAACGTTCTCGCATAAAATGCCTATTTTGATTGCTAAACTGATTTTAAAATGTACGATGCATCTGCTGTTTAGTGAATGGGAGAATATCCAACCCATTTCTCAGTAAAATAGATCTTAGTTACTATGAAATCTCCAACAATAATAACCCAGGAAAAATGGATGACCCATCGAAATGCATATATATCTTAGCGACTATCTTAACAACGAGCCAAAATACCCTAAAATTAAGTAAATATGGGCTCTCAGAAGACTACAAGTCGACGCATAACAGAGTAGTCTTCGGTCTCCCGAGTTATTATTACGAAAACGCGACATATCCATGCATTATTGTTCTGTTATCGTAAGCCAAAAATAATGCATTTCAACACAATACAGCTCACAATTAAATAATGGTTGAATATTTAGAGCGTTTCTGGAACAACGTAATTTCTTAGTCTAAAATTCAACTGTGATTTGGGCGAGTATCTTATTCAGTGTGACTATTATACAGAACAAAGCTAGCTAAGAAACGAGGCCTTCAATTTATGGATCAGACTACCTAGTATTTGCAACGCGATGGATTCTAGGGTCGTTTGAAACTTTCTCCATAATCAGATATCCATCTAATTCAACATGCTCACTGGAGCTTGAAGATTCTAAAACGCACTTTATTGTTTAAAGCCTCTCTGTTCTATTCCCATATATTAGCCATATGTTTCTAGTGACATCATGAATTATATATCGTTTTCTCCTTCATAGGGTTCCCGGGTAATCCGACCCTTAGAATTTTGAAAATGCCTTTGGATAATATTTTTTCAACCCAATGACACAAGCTCTGCCTCATTCCTCTACAAATTTCGACAAATGAAATTTTCCTTTAAAGGCATGCCAATCGTGTTTCTATGGTGTGTCGTCACAACGAAGCTGCCAAATAAGCGTCAGCGCCCAACCAAATATGTTGTCATATTCGAATGAAGTGTTGTGGCAGGATAGGGAAGTTCGCTTCGATGCTCCGCGTTGCGATTTAGTTTTTAGAAATGGAGAGATAAACTTTAAACTCTTGGAAAATGTCGAAGATGTGAAAGGAAATAATGGAGACAAAGGTATTTGTTTGTATAAAATATCACAAGGCTGTAAAATTTGTTTTTCAGGGGATTTATACATTACCAACTTAAGGTTGCTCTGGATATCTAAGTGTGTAATGCGGAACAGTTTGTGTAGGATTAATTATATGCTATTACTTACACTACTTAAGCTATTGGCTTTGGCTGCATCATAAATATTTGTTTTAAGAATGTCAATTCAGTAAGTACATGAGAAGAACCACTTTATGGCTAGAAAGCAGCTAAAAAAAGCCTGGCGGTTGATGTTCTTACTACGTTTTCTGGGACAAGGTATGAATTCATTTTTGCTGAATGCGGAGATGGTGATTCCAAAATGATGGAGTACATTACGACAGTTTACAAGTTAGTTTCGTCCTCAAAGCCTTCCAAATTCTAAAGGGCATATGATTCTACGAGAATTTATCGAGAGTTACGGGTTCGTGGAGCACTAGTGAAGGGAAACCTTCTTATGCTATTGCCATTAGAAAGTTTATTTGATGAAACAGATGGAGTATGGAATCTTTCATCTGATCAAGTAGTTAAATTTCAGAAGTAGATAAGTTATCAAGGGAAATCTAGGGAAGTTGTTTGTAACAAATTTTCGACTTGTTTGGACATCTATAATTAACGTGAACTTCAATATTAGCATTCCTTTCCTGCAGATAGTAATTATGTCGAAAAATACTAAAATTCTTACTTCAGCAAATGATTGCAACCAGAAAATCTAAGTTTGGAGAGGCACTCGTAATTCAAACTACACGGCAGGTAGGTAAATTCAGTATGTTTTAATATAGTATATAGGTGGTCCTTTATCAAAATTCGAAAGAATATGCTTTTACCATAGAACTGATTTTATCTCTTCGATTGAAGTTTATATAAATTATATTAACTCCCATATCCGCTTACCACGGCTGTAACAAAGAGCCGTAGAGTTGATTGTGGAAGAACGTTATTATTTAATAAGTCTTACTAATTGTAATCAAACGACGACTAACCGTAGCGTTTAGTTACTAGGTAATTGAAATTAATGATAGAAATACAGTCATCCAATCAAGATGACGTAAAACCTGACACATGCGTACATAGGATAAATTTGCCACATCCCATTAGTATTGCACAATAAAACTGTCAGGGTAAATCTTGGTGTAGCAGCGTTGAAAATAAAGTTAGCGGGGTTTGAAATAATCAGTCATTGAAAGTGCGGTTTATAGAAATATCAGTTTGCGAAATAAAAAAGTTATGAGGTATTCAGAAACTTAGAATCTAAGGGAAGAAAAAGAGTTAGTGCACCTGCGACAGTCAAAGCTATTTTGACTCATGTAATTGAAAGTCATTAATCATTGGCTACAACAATTACGCAGACCCCAATCAGCTAGTATACACCTGTCTACATGTTTTAGCCCAAAACTCAATGCTTTCATGAGCCAACACTGTGTCTCGGTTCTGTCACTCCTTACTCCCTCCAACCTACTTCTTCACCAGCCATTATCGCACATTGAGGTATTCGGTGAATAAGTATACGTAATACATCTCCTAATCACTTCGATCGACAAAGATTCGCTTCGAGAAACAAATGCTTATCTGAAGACATGTAAACATTAAAAAGAAAAGTATTATAGCACATAATCGTTTTCAATAACTTCTTTGTCAAACTTCTCAAGTCCAAAACTATTATTTTTGTGTTACAATATGAGGAAAATTACATTTAAACTAATCCATGTTGTACGTTTAAAATGACAAATTTCGGGTTGACTGATTCTTAAACAGTACAACTTACTAACATAATAAAACAACATCATTAATATTGTTGAAGAAAGGTAGTTTGATTCTTAATTCCATTTGTGTCTCCCATCTTCACCACTGTTCTCCCTCCCTTCTGTGAGGTTTGTCTTATCCCCAGTCATACACTCACCTTTTTACGCGATACGCCGATTATTAATTTTTCCTAATCTTAGTATTATTACTGTCATTACTATTATTGTCATTATCATTATTATAGTCACAACAAATTTGACATAATAATTCCTATAGTTCGCTAATTTGTCTTGCATACGATTGTATCATATTGACTAGAATCCATTATCTTGATCAAAACTTATTCCTTCTTGCCTTTATGTATAACCTCTTCTCAACAATACCAATGATGTTGTTTTATTTTGTTAGTAAGTTGTATTGTTTAAGAATCAGTCAACCCGAAATTTGTCATTTTAAACGTACAACATGGATTAGTTTAAATGTAATTTTCCTTATATTGTAACACAAAAATAATAGTTTTGGACTTGAGAAGTCTGACAAAGAAGTTATTGAAAACGACAATTCGCTGTAATACTCCTCGTTTTTAAATATTATATGGGAATTTCCAAACTTCATAGACATTATTTTGATTCAGTATCCATAAGAATTTAGGAGTCACTTATCAGTTAATCTATTAAGATGTTTACAACCAAACGTACACATCATTATACTGAGTCTCATTAACTCTATTAAAACGTTATATTAAGGAAACATAACGTACACAGTTTTGGTTACGTCTTTATTGTAAATGTCTCATTCTTTCCCATTTTAAAATATGTATGGTCTTATTTGACTTATAAATTAATTTGTGTGTAGTTCACATCAGGAAAACATTTTAGCATTGATTACAACCTAAAATACCTTTCGGTTGTAATTTTTTTATGTAAAATATACAGTCTTGGTAGCGTAAGTTCCTTGTAAAATCATGCATCAGTTTACGTTAAGAAACCTGTCTATTCTTAAAGGCAGAGTTTTCAGTCCTGTACAAATTATTGGAATCCGAAAAATAATACTTAGTCTTAGGTTAGTGTAATACAAGAACTTCAGTTCAAGGTACAGCAATGAACTAGTCAAAATGGTTACTTAGCAAAGACAGTCTATATCTGCATTTTGTTTTGCTTTCAGACAGGATCATATCTTCTTGGGTTTCGAATAGATCCACGCGAGCGTCTCAATAAAGTAGCGAAGCAACTTGGTAGTTTACATAGCATTTATTGGAAAAACCCTGTTCTTGGAATTACTACTGGTCAAACAAAAGATGAAACAATACAAAATGTATGTAAATATGGGATGAATATATATATATATATATATATTTGAAAGGGGAAGTGACATCTTTAAAGGTGTGAAATATGTTTGATTTACCCTCTGTTTCTCTATCTTACGACCAATAAGAAATGTATCTTATAGACATATTATAAAGAGCATACTCTCAAAAAATAACATAAGTTTTTCAAATTTAGAAAAATGTTTCGTCCTTGTTACTCAAATTTTGTTATCCCGTAAGTTTATTTTGAACAGCTAGGGGATAGTCTATTTCAACAGAAAACTTTGTTAGTCAACTTCAGACGACCGAAAATGTAAAGGTAGTTGACTTAAATACATTTAAGTATTTACATCGAAAATGTGATGGTATATAAATTGAATGTGTGTCTATTTGTTTTGAAAGAGAATATCTGATTAAAGTTTCAAATGAAACGATTATATATAAAGTTGAATAACTACATTCTGGGTTATATTTCTTACACTTCATTGGAATGAATTTGAAATACGTGAGGGAGCAAATATGACTTAATTTTATTATTCAAAGGTCATAGTCGGCATTCCTCGTTAAATGTATCCCCAAAAACATTGTGTTTTATGCTTTCCAGCGAAACTTAATGGACTTTTATGCTGTCGAATGTTGCCGTTCGTGATAACAAGAGTCAAGTGGCTAAGTTTGCCTTGATATTATTTAGATGAACACAAGGAACATATTGTAATGAACGAACACTCAGGTAGGAACAACCAATGTATTGTTTCGTACAAAGTTACAGAATATCTTTGTAAAATGTGAGGACCGTAAATTGAATACTTCATCTGCAAATTTCTGTCGTTTGTCTTTCAAATTTTGTATGATCCTTCCAGTTTACAATTCCTTTCTATTACCTTCAACTCAATCTTCTTAGCCTTCTGCTGCCAGGTATTCCACTTCCGATTGATATGCCTCTAAATGCCCTGTTATGGCCGAGTGTCAGTCAGTCAGTAACAACGTAGAACTTCGTGAGTACGTACATCAGTCCGAGTCGCCACACCACATTAGCACAGAGATAAAGTTGTCGATTCAAACCCCGAGAGTGAGGAGAGTTAGCTCTCCCTCTCAAAGTTCCCTCACATAACCACGCATATACAACCACTGCCAGGAAAGTCCTACTCACTGCCTTCTCGTGGCGGAAGTGCTCTTTACAACATTGAGAGGACGAATAGTGAATGTCCGGTACTTTAACTGGGTTGGTGAATATGGGAGGTTTACTCAGGAGGGATTGGAAAACACCGATTTCAATCAAATGGTGCACATGGGCTCCTGTATCCTGAAGGAAAAATTGGCGTATGAACCAATTATTGGTCACCGGTTACCATGGGACTGCATCTCCTCACGACGCTCCACCGCCTTGTGGATCAGACCTTTAGGTCAAAGGCTCGAGGTGTGGCCCCCTAAGAAAACCAGCTGCTTCGGTCTGGGCACCTGGACAGTATCACAGCCCACACACGAATAAAATGAAAATGACGATATTTACCGAAAATTCTGTTCACACTTCGATTTACAGTCAAACAATTCAAATTATTATCACTATTAATATTATCATTATCATGATGATTATTATTATTTACTACGTCGTTTATTCACCATCTCTTATTCCCCCTTTATGTATCCTTATTTTTCCACTTATACAGCAGCTTGCCTATGGTGGAAACTCGGTTCTATCTAAACGTTCTCGAGTCACTGTTTGTTTGGAAATTTGATGCTACCACCAAATATGAATTCTGAGGCAGTTTTCCTGGAATCACGTGCACCATTCAAACTGGCTGCCTTCAACGTTCGCACACTTATGCAGGTCGGACAACAGATAGGGCTGGCTATGTCTTTGGAAAGTCTTCATATCGACGTTTGTTGTCTATCCGAGACCCGTATTCAAGACTCTGGTGAAGTACTACAAATTCACTCTCCATCTGTTGCTTCGAAAAGCTTGTTTTACGTGCGCTTATCCGGGGACCCTGTGGCATCTTCGTCTGGTCTTGCTGGCGTTGGTGCCGCACTAAGCGCTAGAGCCGATGCAGCACTAGTCGATTGGATCCCCAATAACAGTCGGTTATGTGCTGTTAGATTAGAAAATTCCATCAAAGTGAGAAGAAATCGGCGTGAGAAACGATGTCTTTTCGTCATCTCCGCCTATGCCCCGACAGATTGCAGCCCGGATGCAATCAAGGATGAGTTTTACCACCAGTTATCTGTTCTTCTCCAGAAAGTGCGTTCGACAGAAATTGTAGTACTAGCCGGAGACTTGAATGCTCAGGTCGGGCGTCTAGGCACAGAAGAGAGTCGTTTAGGTGGCCGATGGGGACTCGTTGGTCGCAGGTCAGATAACGAGGACCATCTACTCTAACTGTGCACAGACCACAACCTGTTTCTGGCTAGCACTAACTTCCGGCACAGTCATCGCGTATGTACCACCTGGCGTCCTCCCTCTGCATCTCAAACCTGGAATAAGATTGATCATATCGCGATCAGCTACCACTGGCGTGGTTGTGTACAAGACTGCCGCTCCTTTAGGAGTACCTATCTGGACTCTGATCATTCCCTTTTCTGCGCTAATCTTACCTTATTTTTCAGTGGTCAACAAATTCCTCGTCCTAAACGGATGGATGTCAGTAAATTGGTTGCAACTTCTGTTGCAACTAAATATCAAACCGAGCTAGCTTCTAGGCTAGCTACCATTCCACCGAAAAGTATAGATGAGCATTGGTCGCAACTTCATGATGTCATCAAAATGGCGAGTAAAGTCGCTTGCGGCTTCGCTATAAGCTTATAAGCACTGGGTTTCTGCAAGTTCCTTACAACTCATTGAAGCCCGTCAGTCTACTCCGGGTAACCGTGAGTTTGACCACAAACAATGTTACGTAATGAAATTGGGCAAAGCTTGCTTAAGGACCGAGAAACCTGGTGGTCGGAGCGTGATAATGACTGGAAGCAGCAGCTGCATTTGGTAACTAGCGGAAGTTCTTTCAACTCATCCGAGCCACTGGCAGCAAGAAGTCTGTTGTGAGCAAATCAATCTGCGAGGATGACTGGATGCCAATCACCAACATCCATCGACGTCTTGGACGATGAGCAGAATTCTTCGAAGGGCAGTTCAACTGGCCTGCTGATCCGGCAACATCGGTCAGACTGTCCTGTCCTCCATGGTCGGTGACGACTGATCTACCACATGAGGCGGAAGTCCACAAGGAACTTCAACTCTTGAAGCGCTACAAACCAACGGGCCCAGATGACTTACCTCCGGCTATTTTAAAAGATGGTATTGTCTTTCTTGTTAAGGAACTGACTGTGTTGTTCACAAAGGTTTGGGAGCTAGAGAGCGTACCAACGTCATAGAATGAGTCGATAGTTATCCCTATCCTTAAAAATGGTTTACGTCGTTCCTGTAACAACTATCTGGGGATAAGTCTACTTCCGATTGCGTCCAAGCTATTGGCTTCCGTCATACTTCGTAGGTTGTTCAAAACCCGAGAAAGATTGACTCGCGAGGAGTAGGCTGTTTCGTTCTGGTCGAGGATGTATTGATCATATCTTCACCCTCCGCCAAATGTCAGAACACCGTCATACTTTTCAAAGGCCAACAATCGTAGTGTTTCTTGACATCAGGGCTGCCTTCGATTCGTTGGATAGGACAGAGTGAGGGCACACAACCACCTTTCTCAATTGTTCCATTCGAGCAGTGGGGTTAGGCAGGGTTTCCCAATCTCACCATTCCTCTTCAACTTTGCCATCGATGACATTCTGGAGACAGCTCTGATGGATGTAAGTAATGGCTGTGTGAATCTGTTGCCTGGAGAAAGACTTCTCAACCTTGAGTATGCGAACGATATTGTCATATTGTGCGATAATGCCCAAGCCATGCAATCCGCACTTAATCAGTTGGCAATCAGTGTCCGTAGGTATGGTATGTGCTTTGCACCTTCCAAGTGCAAAGTACTTTTACAAAACTTGCAGGATTCTAACCCTGTACTCACCCTGGATGGTGAGTAGATTGAAGTAGTCGAGAAGTTCGTGTATCTAGTTGCTGCATAAGTGCGAAAGTCAGAGCGGCCTATGCCAATCTGGGCCATCTTTGGCGCCTTCGTGATGTCGGTCTGGCTGTATAAGGTCGGATCTACAACGCGTTGGTCAGAGCAGTTTTGCTCAATGCTTGTGAAACCTGGCCTCTCCGAGTTGAGGATGTTAGATGACTCTCTGTGTTTGATCATCGTTGCCTCCGAAGGGTTGCTGACATCCAGTGGCAATACCATGTTGGCAATGAAGAGGTTAGGCATCGTGTGTTCGGGCACAGAGACGATAATGCAATTGGTGTCACCATCTTGAAACATCGACTTCGGTGGCTTGGAGATGTTCCACGAATGTCGTCCCAGAGAATTCCACGTCGTGCATTATTTACCGACTCTGGGAGTGGTTGGAAGAAGCGGAGAGGTGGTCAGTGTATGACGTGGTGTCGTGGTATGGAAGAAAGCTGTAGAGGGCTGGCTGCTGTTGGTCCTTCACAACTCCCTGGCTGGGGTCCTAGAGATGGTGCAACAGAGTGGCTAGAGACGTTATCAGATATGGCTCAGAATAGAAGCCAGTGGCGATCCTGCTGTAACCTTTTACTTTCTTCATAAAAAGTGGTTGTTTCTTCCTTAACTGAAATATTTCTTCTAGTTGTACCTTTACGTTTCCCCCATTATTATTATTACACTACCTTACACTAATTTGGTCGTTATTGTTCTTTTTTTCTTTTACGCTCCTTACCTTCTTTTGTTCTCTCTTCCCATTCTCATTGTTTGTGTGGCGCACATATATTTGGTGCCCTCTTGTACCAATATTTATGTTCAAATAAATAAATAAATAAATAATGAGTAAATCCGGTCGACAAGTAGTATTAACCACAATATTCCGGGCACCTCATGTGATAATTATTAACTAAGTATCCATACAAGTCATATTATCATTTATCCCAGGTAAAATCACACTCAGATTTACGTTTGACAGGCAGGAATATTGAGACATTTCCTTCAGCCTAGATGGAATAAATCGAAAACCTAACTACATTACAACAGTATTGACCACTGATTTTGCTGCAGAGGCGGTAGCAGTTCAACAATTCGAACCTGAGCTATATCCTAAAGCGTCACATTCAAGGTGTCATCACATGTGATTTCTCACGCAAAGTCAATTGATGAGTGATACTTTGTTTTAATGTTCCTAATTTTTAGTCATTTTTGATTACCACCTGAATGTGCTTAATTCATTCCTCATTTTTCTCATACTCCTTAAGTGGATATTTACCTTTTACGCATTTCGTTTTATCTAATTATTTTTCTTTTACTCTTCGATCATAACGCAACCTTATCTTGGTTCTGGAAATTATGTAATACTCTTAATATTTTACAACAGATTAAGTAGGGTAACAGGTGTAAAATTCTGACCCCGACACAGTGATAACTCAGACTAAAAGGGTGATTTCTTAATAAGATAAAATAGTCCCAGCAATTTATTAACTGACTGAATATAGTAAATCAAAACTGAGCATCAAGATAGGGTAACATCAATTTAATGTAGATGTAAATGTTACTTAAATTACGAAACTCTCGTAACAGTTTAACATGTTCATATTTGCAGATTAAAATTATGTGCTATTCCATGTAGACAGTCTAGTTTCAATCTGTTTTCGTAATCTTCTATGACCAGTTTGGTACACATTGTTACTTCCTTATACTTTCTGTCCTGTTGTTGGATTCCTGCAATAAACTGTCCGATTTTCAATTGATTAATACTTCCTTTTTGAGAGGGCAATTTAGTACATTTAAAGGACTCTAATTTGGTAAGGAATATTGACTGTCATGTCGTATGCGCTGAATGATGTGTTTGATTAGATTAACAGCTGAAAACTGAGCCGACACTGCATACAACAAACTGGCTGACAATATAGCCACAATTTGATGTGCTGCCTCTGTAGAGATATCTCCTCGATCTCTTATGTTGACTGACCTCTTCGCATCTATCTTAGCTGTATCTGGAATGTGATTGTGTTACATTGGCGTCTTAACATCATAATATTCGACCCATTCAATTTCTCCTTACAATACATCTCCATTGGCTAATATTTTATCAACGGATTTTCTTTGTGAAACTTTTTGTTTTCTTAACCACAGGTAAAGAAAATAAATGAAGACATAGATGAATCTAGAGGTCGAACTGCTGAAGATCACTGTGATATTCTTTCAGTAAGTCGTTAAATATAATAAGTCGCACCAAAAGCTTTTTTCCAGTAAACATTGATTTGCAAAATATATAGCTCGTACATTTTAAGACTTAAACATCTTAAAAACTGATAAGCAGAATATTTATTCCTCAAGTCTGTATCACATAACTGTATTAAGACTGTTCTATAAGTAGTACCATGAAGTCATAATAACCATAACATATCAACCAACCATCCCTGTCCAAAGACCATTAGGATTATTTGGATGCCCACTCTAACAATATGGGAATAAAAACAGGTTTGTGTATCAGTAATGTCCGGTCCTCCAAATACAGTTATTCGGACACACATGAAATTCCTGTAATCTCATGGTACGTAGGCAATTTTATGATCAAAATTAGACATGATTCAGCAATAACACGAATTTGCATGATAGGTCGTAAACACGTATGGTAAAGACCCCTTAGATTAAGGAATTGCATCAACTAAAGGTAGTTTGATGTTGGACCAACGAGCTAGTTGTAACTGGCACTTAGTACATTGAGATTCTGTTTCAGCAAAATGATTATAATATCCGTAGCCATACCACTTACGGAAATATTCGTTTTTCTACCGCAGCAGTATCATTTGTGGCTTTTACCTAATACAAGCACTTAAAGCTGACAGACAGATAAACAAATAAATGCCCACAACAAGATTTTACGCTAAAACTCTACTATATTTTACATTTTACAAAGGTTTATCTAGCGGATGGAACCAAACTAAAAGACAGAGAGCCAGTGTATAACGAGGACCTTGGCCTTGCTGTCGAACGTCTACCAGAAAACTACACTATTTCTGACTTGTGGAAGATAATACCAGAAAGGAAAAAAGATAAATGATTTTCATCAAAGGAATTTATCATAATCCTGACCATCTTTACAAATAACAAATAAATATTACAAACATGTAAAGAATGTCCTTGTGTATAAACTCAACCACCGTGCAATGAAGATATAAATATAACTTTATCCATTTCCTTCAAAATATAGTCATTCTCACCCAATAAACTGTAATCTACATCATTGATTAAAATGAGAATTCCAGGTCGAACGCTTTTCCCTTGTAAGAAGAGTTCAGGACGTTCTTGTAAAAGATTTTTCTCCAACCAAACAAGCAAATCACCTAGTCGAACCACTGTTGGTGGTAGGTCAACTTGATATTCTTTTTGCTTGTTGAACAAAAGTTCAGCCCCACCGGAAAATTCAATATCAAGTCTCATCTAATTGTTATGATCTGAAAGGAAATAAACGAAAGATTAATGCATCCCAGATGAAAAAATTATATGGTCGCCAGATCTTAAAAAAAGATTCCGTAAAAAGAACTTGTGCTTTAAAACAGTTTATGAAGATAAAAAAGACTCTTTTGATAGGTGATGAAGAGCCGCGCACTTATCACAAATTAACAATCTCAAGATCCCTATACACTTTAAAAACAAAGAATTTTTTGAGCGAACAGTTTTCAGAAAGTTTGTCACCAGGTTCTAACGCTTTATACATCTATAATCTTTGTGTTACCGTGGGCAAAATTAAGTAAATATGAATTAATAAATTAAACAATGTTAAGAATGTGGACTTTCGTATCGGTTAAGGTATAAATATATCTGGTTTATGTTATTTGTAAATTTAACAGGTCATTTAGAAAAAGGACAGGCAAACCGTTATAAGATATCGAGTTGTAATCAATGTAGTAGAATAAATCACGTAAATGTGATGCATAACTGGAGAAATATTGTCTGAATGACTAAGGTAATAATTTTAACTCAATCACGTGGATAAAATGTGGAATTGTGTAGACATGCACAGACGAAGAATGAAACGGCAAAAAAACGTAAAGGAAATTAGGTAAGGTACTCAACGAATACATGGAATATGATGCTAGACTCACTGAAACAAAATGTGAATTTTATTATAAATTTGCTACTATTTGCTCGATTATACTTATTTAAACTGCTAGGAAATAATTGTCCCTATTCTTAACCGGTACTGTTAGAAATCAATTACAATGAGATGTATGAGTCTCTGTACCAATATTCTGGATTTTAATCAGTCTTCGTAGTTTTTTAATAAGAACATGAAATACGCTAACTATAACAGACACTCTGAAAATTCTGCTCAACTTTGTCTTCTCATTGCATTATCGAAATTTATCAAAGGGAGTAATTGTTTTAAACTTTTAACTATAAAAAATAAACAAGAAATTAGATTAAAAAGTAATAACTGATTAACTATATTTACACTTTCAGATTGGATGTAAATCCTAACCAATAATGACTCATTAGATAAGTGTAAGAATTTGGTAAATAATGAACACTAACGGAGAGTTACTAAAGTTTAAAAACAAGACACGTAAACATCACATAATAATGCATCAGTTTACAACTTCACACTTTCTAATTTCATAGAAGGAAAAGACTAACGAAATAAAAACAACAAAATGAACAGACATAAAGACAGGAGACGAACTAATATATCTTTATGAATGCGTCTGCGTTGTGACAAATTGTTCTAAGCTATGATACCTACAACTATCACTCGACTATTAACTCTTTGGAGCTTATATCATTTAAATTACTATCCGGTAGCTTAATGGACTGATATAGTATGTTAGTATAGTGAGTTAGACTTTGATATATTCCTGATTTAAGCAGTCAGATGATGAATCGATATATGGAATATGTAATAGATATTAGCTAGTGCACGATAACCTCAAAGACAAACTTTTGTTAAAGTTATACACTCAACATCACTAACATGAATGATCACTACATAACAATAGTGCGTTGAAGACACTTATGATCGGATACTTGTCTACAATCAATTCACATCAACTATCTTTAGTGATTTCAAACACATAGTTTCCTTTATTATTTTAAAGGGAGCAAGGACGAAGATTGGTGCAGAATAATATGAATCCATTTTATTTCGTTAGGTTCTCATCAGCTGCTTACAACCTAAAATATTTGAAAATCAACGTTACTACTGATATTGACATACTTATACATACGAGGGTGACTAAAGATGAATATATGTATCATGATGCAGCGAAGATTTCAATAGAGTTAATAAGGTCATAAAAATTTTTGTTTCGGATTAATAAATTTTGAAAGGGAAAGTTCCAGAACATTGAAATAGAGATTAGGACTCATGAAGTTAATAAACATTAGATAATTGTGCAATGAAGCAACTGAAAATAGATTAATAGTAACAAAGAAATATATGAATTGAAGGAAAATGACAACGAAGTAATTCAAACTTCAGAAAGAGTTGAAATAATGGATGACGTAATAAATAAAAAGAGGTTTAATGTTACCAGGGCAAAGCAAGATTTACTACTGTATCTTTTTGGATACATAGATCTGGTTTTAGACGTCTGATTTCTGTCGCTTAGGCAAACTTCTAAAGGTTGGAGTTTGATTGTTCGTTAATCACCTTGAAGGACTTCAGTGTATCGACTTCATGTCCTGTATCAAGGAGATGTCTTGCGATGGCATTGTTGAATGCTCTTAATCCATTTGATTTTAAACTTGCCGGAATATGTTCTTTGAATCGGACGTAGGCTCTCCTTCCTGTTTTACCTATGTAACTGCTTTGGCAGATACATGTAAATTTGTACACACAGTTGGTGGTAACATGAAAGGGATACCTACCGACCTTTGATTGTGTTAAAGAAATGTTGTTTTGGACAGGAAAATTAGTTTAGCTGCAGAATAAGTTGTTGTCAATGCAGTTTTTAGTTCCACATTGATTGACCATGTGACATCATCACCTTTGAATTTAAGTTGGATAAAAATTGGTTTCTTATTTGCTGCAGTTTCTTTGGGTTTTTTTATCTTCACGTTCTCCATATTTCTCAACAAATTTCAGTGTGTATCCGTTATTCTTTAAACATTTTTTAACATTCATAACATCTTCTTTTAATGTGTCGGCAGTATATATTCTTTCTGTTCTATGAAAGTGTTTTGACAAGTGCCTTCTTGTAACTGATTGGACAAAAGCTACTGAAATTGAGATAAACCCCGTTCCATGTGTCTTTCTTATAAACTAAACGTTGAGCTGTCCCATCTTTCCTTCGTTTGATTGCGATATCGAGAAAATGGAATTTGTTCTCATTTTTATGTTCCATAGCAAAATGGATATTTGGATGGGTTTCGTTGAAAAGCTTTAGTAGATTTATTAATGTTGTTGATTATTACATACGATGAAGGTATCACCAACATACATCGAATAATACACTATTTCATCAATCGCTCCTTTGAGCTTGGTTCTTTGGAAGTTAGCTATGAAAAAATCTGCTACGATAGGACCTAACGAACTTCCCCATTGCTACACCATAGGTTTGCCGGTAAATGATATTGTTGAACTGGAACTTAACATCTTTTGCGCACATGAGTAACAGTAGTTTGAATCCTGATGCTGGTAGAGGTAGAATGTCAAGATGCTGGTAAATTATGTCTATGGTTTCAAAAAGTGCTATTTTTGTAAACAATCATGTCGCATCAAAAGAAACCATAAAATTACCAGCAATATTTTTGTGGTTCATGCTACCAGAAAATCCAAATGAATCCTTTACTGCATTCGTGGCTAATCGTTAGTGAAAGCATTCAAAAGCTAATAAGAAACAAGGAGCTTACCACTACATAAACTTGTCCTCCTAAGTGCTTAAACTTAGCTTACTACATAGGTGTATCATAATGATATATGCCAAATAAACTCTTCGTATCAACGGTAATATTTTATCAACCACGCAACCTTTATGATCAGTGCACATTCGAAAAATTATTAACCAGTTTCTCATTTCCAAACTAAGTGTCAACAGATACGAACACTACAGCATAGAAGGTAGGTGGTGCATTAATCAGATGAGGTACGCAGACAGATAATATAAATTGTGTGATAATTTTAGAGGTTATGAAGGGTTTATATAAAATTACTGGAACTTCGAGACCAACAGGCTGGATTCCGTAAGATCTGTCAAGTATAGATCGAATCGCAACTCTACGGATCATTGTGGAATAATCAATCGAATAGAATTCATCGCTCTACATCAACTTCATTGACCACGAGAAAGCATTTGATAGCGTGGACAGAACAACACTATGGAAGCTTCTTCGATACTACGGAGTGCCTCAGAAGATAGTCAATATCATACGGAATTCCTATGATGGGTTAAACTGCAAAATTGTGCATGGACGACAGTAGACAAACTCGTTCGAAGTAAAGACTGGTGTCAGGCAAGGTTGCTTACTCTCACCCTTGCTCTTTCTCATGGTGATCGACTGGATCACGAGGACATCAACATCTGAAGGGAAGCACGGGATACAGTGGACATCTAGGATGCAGCTGGACGATCTAGACTTCGCAGATGATCTGGATCCTCTATCGCAAACGCAACAACAAATGCAAGAGAAGACTAATGTAACAGCAGTCTCAGCAGCAGTAGGTCTCAATATACACAAAAAGAAAAGCGAGGTTCTCCGATACAACACAGCATGCACCAATCAAATCACAATTGAAGATTTGGAAGATGTAAGAACCTTTACATATTTGGGCAGCATCATTGATGAACACGGTGGGTCTGATGCAGATGTGAAGGCGTGGATCAGAAAAACAAGAGCAGCATATTTACAATTGAAGAACACCTGGAACTCAAAACAATTGGCAACCAACACAAAGGCTAGAATTTTCAATAAAAATATTAAGACAGCTCTTCTCTACGGAGCTGAATTCTGGAGAACAACGAAAACCATCATCCAGAAGATACATGTGTTTATTACCAGCCGTATACGTAAAATACTTCGGATTCGTCGGTCAGATACTGTCAGCAACAACCTGCTGTGGGAGAGAACAAACCAGATTCTAGTTGAGGAAGAAATCATGAAGAAGCGCCGGAAGTGGATAGAACACACATTGAGGAAAGCACTAAACTGCGTCACAAGACAAGCCCCTACTCAGAATCCCCAAGATCAAAGGAGGAGTGGAAGACCAAAGAATACATTACGTCAGGAAATGGAGATAGACATGAGAAAAATGAACAAGAATTGGATGGGACTAGAAAAGAAGGCCCAGGACAGAGTGGGTTAGAGAGTGCTGGTCGACGGCCTATGCTCCATTGGGAGTAACAGGTGTAAGCAAGTAAGTACTGGAACTAAAGATTGATAAGATGGGTTACGCAATAGTTGAGCAGGATTTGAAGAGTTTACATAAGTTCGGAGAAAGTAAGAGAATTTCACAACAGGATCGACACTTGCTTTTATTCGCAGACATTTTTGATAACAACTCAAGCCACAGTGTTGCACAATAGACATACACTGACCACCTCTTCACTTTTCCAACTAGTCCCAGTATCAGCAAATAACATGCGATGTGGAATACTCTGGAACGACATTCGTGGTACGAATCCAAGCCACTGAAGTCAGTGTTTCAATGTAGTGACATCAAAATGAATTGTCGTCACTGTTCCCGAACGCATGTCACCGAACCTCCACGTTATTAACATGTCACTGAATGTCAATCATCCTTCGGAGACAACGATGGTCAAACACAGAGAGTCGTCTGACGTCCTCTACTCAGAGTCCATGTTTCACAATCATAGAGTTAAACTGCTCTCACCGACGCATTGCAGATCAGAACTTTCACAACCAGACTAACATCGCGAAGGCGCTAAAGATAGCCCAGAGTGGCATAAGCTGTTCTGGCTTCCGCTATACGTGAAGTGATCTCATCACTCACATCACCAGCACTTACACAGTTACCCAGACACACGAACTCGATCACTTACAACTGCTCAGTAACAAGAGGGAGTTCAGGCACAGGGTCCCCCCAATCTTTTGAAGTGCGAAGTACATACCATACCTACGGACACTGGTTTCAAATCATTAAATGTGGGTTGCATGGCTTGGGTATCATCACACAGCGAGACAACATCCGCAAGAGCTGAAATTGAACATGTGTATAGTGAGTATCAAATAAAGGTAAGTGGAAAACCCTAATTCTAAACTGGTGTAGATGAGCTAAAGGATAAAGAGGGAAAGATCTTTCGGACACTGGTTAACGTGGGAATGTGGTATTAAGAACTCTAGTAACTATTATGTATCGAATATTAGGCACACGGTTTTTAGTAAAAGTTTTAATTATCTGGTAAATTCGTGATGTTAATAAATAATAATAATCGGGAACTGTTACTTTTTCTCAGCTACTACGTGTTTTAGCATGTTATCCTCTCTGGTTCTGGTTTAAATATTTTTAAGAATGTTCAAATTAGGATATGGACAAAATATCGGCACAGATTTAGGGGACTCGATTGGCATTTGCCAACTCGTGTCACTTGTGGGGTAGGTGAGATATCTGTTTGCCGACTAAAGAACGAATTTACTGTTCAGCAGTTTGCTCTGTTCTACTTAATGAATATGAAACATGGCCATTAGGAATAAAGGATATTCGCAAAATGCTAGTATCCGATCACATTTTCGAAGCTTCGTTCGTGTATTTCGGGACCACTGAGTAAGCAATCCCTGGTTTAGGAAAAAATGCTAGTTAAGAATGGTAAATCAACTGATGAGGTGGCATATCTCCAATAGCTGTATTTGAGACATCTTTTATGTATACCAAACCACTGAATTCTTCGACGAGCGATGTTGTGTGGTGTAGGAGTAGGCTAGAAGAAAGTTTTGGGAGGTCCAACCAAAATGAGGCATTGGTACTCGCTTCGGTGGTACGTATACTAAAACTGAAACGACACAGAGATTAGCATGGCCCCTGCGCAGGGATGACACGCAAAATCGTGAAGCGTCTCATATTTTTTGCCCCCAAATGCCCTGGTAAGACCGACGACGGGGAGAGTTAGCTCTTCCTCTCGAAATACTCTGACATGGCCACGAGTACACAGCCAATGAAAAGAAAGTCCTACTCACTGCCTACTCGTGGCGGGAGTGCTCTTTACGACATTGAGAGGACGAATAGTGAATGTCCGGTACTTTAACCGGGTTGGTGGATATGGGAGATTTACCCGGGGGGATTGGAAAACACCGATTCCAATCAAATGGTGCACATGGGCTCCAGTATCCTGAAGGAACAAATGGCGTACGGACCAATCTTTGGTCACTGGTTACCATGGGACTACATCTCTTGACGTTGCCCCACTGCCTTGTGAATAATACCTTTAGGTCGAAGGCTTAGGGTGTGGCCCCCTAAGAAAACCATTTGCTTCGATGTGGGCACACGGGTAGTATCATAGCCCACAAACAAATTAAGTGGCTTGCGTGATGCATATGTATTCGGTGCCCCTTTGTACCAATATTTACGTGTTCAAACAAATGAATAAATAAAATTGGTCTATGAAGTCATTGGCAGTTGAATTAGGCCATGTTAGTGGGTGTAGACTATTTGGTTGAGGTCGGTGTGATTAACGTAGCCAGTGGTCGGAGACTGAATGGAATGGCTCAAAATCGTTTGCGATGGCGCATAAACATCCACTTTTTGTCTCCTACCAAATTATGAGTTTCTAAATTCCCCAAAACTTGTTTACTTCACTAATTTCCTTTTAATCGTATGTCATATGTTTAATCTTCTCCGTCACCACTGATACTATCACTACGTCTACTATTGAGGTTTGGCCTGATATTTTCATTTCTGCGTTTATAAAGTGTAGGATCTTGAAACGATGTACATACGTACCAGTTTCTACTTTGTAACTGGCTGACTGATATGGAAATATTACTTAGTCACTTACTTTTGACCATTTAACCTAGCAGGCTGTCAATAACAGATTTTATTTGTCTTTGTTTTGGTAACAGAAACATTCAGAAAAAAATCAAACCCCAATTTATATAAGACTGTACATGCTTTAAAAGAACTGGCTTTTCGGCATTTACATCGTACTGATGGGACAGTATAGAGGATTGATGATCATGGGCGTGATAAAACTCAATTTAGAAACTGTAACTTAAAGATTCACATTGCGAATCTCTACTTAGTGACTTGAGCGTTCTTTAGTTATCAAACCAGATACAGCTTAAGTGGAACCATCTAAGGACCTTTGATTGCATAATGCAATGAAGCCACTCGTTTCGGAAATAAAGTGGAACTACAGGATTTTGTTAAAGGGTGTACATACTTTTATTTCCTTGACGAATTCATTAATTTACTGTAACTCACAGAGTTGCATAGCCTACTGTATTTCGCTAAATTAGTCTATAGGCTGGATGTGAGAAACAAAGAAATTTAAGACGATATTATGTACACAATACTGTACTCAGTCAGTCAGTCAGTCAGCTACAACGTAGGACCAGGCACATATGTGCATCGGTCCAGGTTGCCATACCGCATCAGCACAACAAGATGAACACCGGATTCATAGCAGTGGTTAGGTCAAAGGTAGTAATATGTAAGAGAAAGATTGCATATAGAGATATAGTACAAGAAGAAAGAATTGGTTCGTAGAAAGAAAGATATGAAGTGATTTTAATCTCTTAGTTTAAGGGAAGACAGGGAGTGTATACACCGACGCCATTGTGATCGACTCTGAGCCATGTCACCAAAAGTCTCCAACCATTGGTTACGATAGTCACGCGGACTGTACTGAGATTAATCGAACATGAAACACCAAAAAAAGGTTAATTCGAAGTGTTTTACTAAGTTGTCGCGTTTTATACCGACGCACGAGGAAACCACTAGCAAGCAAATGCACAAGGTTACATTAGAAACTAAACGACCACAGAAGACCGGGTTGCGAAAACCATTAGCAGATGAGAAACGTGGTGAACACCTCAAATGATATGGTTAATACATTTTTGGCAGTGGGACCTAATAGATACCAGAGTGTATGTATGCAAGAACTAAACTATCATATTATAAATTTTGAAAGGAAGATTTTGAACTAGAAGTTAGTAGCAGCTCCAATAAAAAATCTTCGGCTGAAAGGCTTTGAATGAAGAACAACATGGAGCATTACGAAAGTGTAATAACAGGTTATTTTAGATTTCATTATTAGTTAGCTAGTCGATGACCACTGGCAATAAACTCTAACACAATGATGTAAACTGATCTATATGATATCGCGGTTGACGAAGTGATTTTATTAATTTACTGACCACAGCCAGCTGGGCGTATTCGCGAACTACGATCTCGAGATCACAGCTCAAGAAGGATATTATGAAGATGAACGAAATGTATCTTACGTCCCACAGTTGCATAGTTAAATTATTGTAAAGTACATTCCAACTCCAAAGGCACATCGTCATCCGTGTAACCGTTTTGAAACAAGTTTCTACCAGCCATAAATCCCAAAATAAACTAGAACCCTTCGAACTTTTTCCTAAGTATCACTATTTCCTTGTGTGTTGGTGTCATCTAATTGAGCACTAGATAATTTATTTGGTGTTGTTGCATCTTGAAATAAAGAGTAAGTAGAAATGCTCCTCTCATACTACATGGCGATAAGAATATCAAGTAAGTTTTTATGAGTTCACCTGATCGGTTATTTTGAAATATTAAAGTGATTTATCACAGTTTTTAATACTCACTTCCTGAAATAGTGTCATCCACCTGCCTATTTAATTTTGTTCAATGCACATCAAGGTTAAACAGAAATCATTTTTCACTCAATGTACAATATGCACTCAATAGCTAGTATTTTTTTGTTCAGTTAGTGAGGGTATATTGCATATTAAAACATGATTTTTAAGAGATTTTAATTCAATCCTTAACTTTCACTTTGTATATCTTTTATTTGACTAGTAGTGAGCAACATTTGTGTGTTTATTGAAGATAAGGGGTTAGCATAAGATGACTAAAATGAAATCCACACTAATTATTGCCCACTTTTATGCACAACCTACTAACCAGACAAACAAAAAACAACTCAACAGTGATAAATATTGAACGTTTAATAAACGCTTGGGAGGATAACTATTAAAAATGTCGCAAGTATTCGGATTTTGACAACCACTTTACACGTAACACCGTTGCAATGGAAGTATAATGACCCAGCCAAATTATGAGTGAGAAGTGGAGAAGCTCGAAGATATACTTGCTAGGCCATCGGTATATTGAGGTCCTTTATTCATAGCCGGCTAACTGCTGAACGCATTTTGTGGATTGATGAACATATTATTGATATGGTGGGGATGCGTGGTCAGGCGCATTCAAAGGATTGTCAAATAAAGATAATCCGTTTACCAGGACCATTTGTTTTGGGGGCCGCTTACGCTAAAAACAACACCTATAGCTCTTCTAGAGTTACTACCGGTCCCAAGCCCAGGTAAATGAGGAGGGTTGGGCATGGGGTTAGCGACCCCATCCCGTAGAAAACTAACTCCCTGAAAATTCTCTTAACAGAAAAAATAATTCAAACCATTTAAACTCTACCCTGGGAGTTAGAAGGTCTTCATTTAGAAAAACTATGACGCCTCATGGCGAAAGCCGAGTTCCTTCGGAATTCACGAGGCCGATGCCCCCCCCAAACAACCAGAGCAACAATTTTTATAGGTATATGGAACGTCCGGACAATGTGGGAGACCGGGAAGACTAGTCAATTACCAACAGAAATGAGGAGATACAACTTGGCAGCACTTTGAGTCAGCGAAACCCATTGGACCCAAGCTGGACAACAAAGGCTAAATACGGGAGAGATGCTGCTTTACTCCGGTCACGAAGAGGAAAATGCTCGGCACACTCAGGGAGTTGCTCTAATGCTGTCCAAAGTAGCACGAAATGCACTTGTAGGATGGGAATCTCACGGATCCAGAATCATCAAAGTATCATTCAAAACAAAGAAGGAGGGGATCACAATGAATGTTATCCAGTGTTATGCACCCACCAATGATAGCAACGACGAAATCAAAGATCAATTCTACGAGCGGCTGCAATCATTCATAGCGAAGTGCCCAAAAAAGGGCCTCACCATTCTGATGGGAGATCTAAACGCCAAAGTTGGAATAGACAACACCGGATATGAAGATATCGTGAGGCGGCATGGACTGGGAGAGAGAAACGAACATGGTGAGAGATTTGTAAATCTATGTGCATTCAACACATTGGTCATAGGCGGCACAATATTT